TTTATCTTCAAATCTTGTTGCACGATGCATTTGTGGGAACCATACACTGGTTGGGCAACAAGGACCTTTATTATGGTCGCTGTCTGCACTAATCTTTCTTGAAATGGATGCTATATTTTTCAGTGCTGCTCGATTACACTGTTGATATCTGTCTCAAATCAGAATTGTTACTGAGTAGAAAAAACGCAACTGCACTTGGTTGCCTTACTTTTTCCATAGAAATAAAACGAACACAAAAATCAGGTTTATTGTGGCAATTGATACTCGTCTCTTCTCAGGTTGCCGAGACGATCCTTGACGGCAAGGAATTGGAGTTCTACAAGTGGGACAGTGATGTGTCTCAACTATTGCAGAATGTTCGGGACAAACTCAATATTGTTGCTGAAGTAAGAAAACTGAAAACCAGTGGCCCCTTATACACTTGCAGTTAATAATTTTCGTTGTTGCAGAAAAAATATCGTGATATCTAACAGAGTTTTTTTTCTTCTTTTTTTTCCCAATGTTGGTGTTACATAGAGCTGGACTAGAGAGGAGAAGAATCGTTGCCTTGAAGAAACTGAGAAATCATTCGAGTTTTCGGGTCATATTCTCCGTCTCATATTGTCCTGATGCCATCATCAGGTACTGGTCTTTAAGTATCTGTAATTTGAGGTTGCAAATTGTAACCACTGTTCATAGTTCAGACCAGTGACCTCATTATCAATTGTTGTGCCAAGACTTTGCTTGTGTACAATTTATATTGTATTAGTGCACTAGTAAAGTGCACGTGTGATGCACGTGGTTATAGATTTTGTTGCCGATTATTTTTTTTAGTAAGAAAAAATGGTTGGCTTAGTAAATATGTTATTGTAGGAATGAATTAAAACGAATACTAAGATGAGTGGCTATTGTAAATTATTATAATGAGGTTTTAATATAATATTGAGAGAATGAAATAATATGTAATGCCCTGAAGTAAAATAAATGAAAAAAGTATATAATTAAAATAAAATGAAATAACTAAGTACTTAATATATAGTATAGATGTGATATTATAGATGTATCAAATGTTTTTTTTTTTTTTTTGTTCTTATATTGATTGCATAATTGAGTTTCTTTCCTTTTGATGTCATCCTTGCAGTTTTATTTTTCAAGACCGTCAATTGTCTCATAACTTTTAATTTCAACAATACTATCATTTTTATATTCTTTTAACTTGTAGAATATATATTTTTTTTTTCCTATTTTCTATTGATGACAGCCTTTATTGGCTTGTACATTATTTAGGTTGGTTTAAAAATTCGATGAGTTTTCTTCTATTTTCTCATCATGTGTAGGTTGTAACCTAGTAGTTGTGTTCGTCACCGCATACAACTCTCCTATTGTGTGGTCAGAAACAAAAATAAAATGAAATTCGACAAATAATTGTAAGGTCAATTCTCAATAGCACTTGAACGTCTTTCCTCCCTAGCTTGTTTAAATGAAGAAAAAGTAATTTATAAATAAAATCCATGATGATCAAGTTATCAACATGAACTCCAAATTTATTGTTATTTCTCACTTCGATTGATCTAAGATAATTAGTAATAGGACATTCCATGTGCATAATCACGATGCCCTCTAATAGCGTTATAGTCGTGTTGTAGTTTCCTTCAACGACATTTAGGATCAACCTATGTTATAGTCGTGTCGTAGTTTCCTTCAACGACATTTAGGATCAACCTCTATATGTGATTATTGGTAAATCAACTACAACACATTATTAAGGTAAATACTTTACTTTATACAAATAAATATTATGTAATTGTTAAAATAAAACTATTAAAATAATTTTTCATTATAAATAGTAAATATCAATTTTACCCAAAACACCAATTGCAATATATAGTAAAATTGGATTACTCAACACCCCCTCCCTCCCCTTTTACTACCTACTGCCCCCCGAAAAGTCAATTTTGCCCTTTAATTATAAAAAAATAAAAAAATAAAAATAAAAATAAAAAAATCCGTTCGTCCCCCCTACTCCAAAAACCGTCCGCCCCCTAAATCACATGTAAAAAGAATATATATTTTTTTTCCCGAAAAAAAAAAAAAAAAA